AGCAAGTTCTAAATCTCAAAATCTTGGCCCTGCTTTATATATCATGTGATTTCTAACTAGCATCTTAGCAACTGCTGATCAAATATTATAGCATAAGAGATGCCTGACTCCCTCGTTGTGTATGTTCTTTAAAGCATCATATTTCTTTGTTTCCACCACAGAACCATCCAGTATACCAGGTACTCAAAAAATGTGGTGAATCATAATATCACTGGAGTATATAGATAGATAATCTGGTGCTTTCCAGCCATGTTTTTATATTTCTTGTCTTTGGTTTTACAAATTAATACCTTTTCAAGTTAAACTTAAAACACCCATAAACTTTGACTTTTTTTTTTTTGAATGCTTGATCAATAAGAAATAGCAATTCCCTGTACTAAAAAAGAGAAAAGAAATGAGTGTCAGAGAGATGAAGGAATTTAGAGTCAGCGAGAACATGGGATAATCTGCAGATTTTCTGTGGCCAGGATGTATTTGCTATTATGTGTAATGTCCCCTTGCCCCAGACTTCCAGGCTTGGGTGACTTTCCCCGGGCAAAAGACAAGCTGTATAGCTTACTTCCTTTCATAAAAATGGAAATTTGAACTCATAGGTAGTGGTTTAGGATATTTATGTACAATTTAGAAGATGCAGCACATTATCCACAATGATGAGGAAGCACCAAGAATTGCCATGGTTCTACTTTTTTTTCTTAAATTTTTCTTTTTTTTTTTTTTTTACATTTATTCATTTTTGAGAGAGAGGGAGAGACAGAGTATGAGCAGGGGAGGGGCAGAGAGAGAGGGAGACACAGAATCCGAAGCAGGCTCCAGGCTCCGAGCTGTCAGCACAGATCCCGATGCGGGACTTGAACCCACGAACCGTGATATCATGACCTGAGCCGAAGTCGGATGCTTAACCAACTGAGCCACCCAGGCGCCCCTGCCATGGTTCTATTTTTAATGCCAGGTGTCTGATGTATGTGTCAAGACTTGGTCGTAGAAGATTTAGTCTAATTCAGATAAATTTCAAGCATCTTAGAAAAAAGATTTGTTCTTTGAGATATTTAAAAGGTACTTCTCATAATTTGGTGTCAAAATAAAACTTTACCCTGTTTTAAAGTAATATTTTCTAGCTGGTAGTAAACATTATTAGGAAAGAAGAAGATATAGTGAAGGAAACAAACATGGCAAAGCCTATGATTAAAATCATAGGTATCCCTTTTAATTTTACTTGTAGTATAGATTTGTGTACTAAGGAGTCATTTACAGGGCTCGTTTTGGAGACTGTTTCTAATACGTGTATTAAAAACATATCCATCAAGGCTTCTTATCACATACTTCGTAAAATTTAGGAATTCAGTGATATATATAGATATGTATATATATGAATTTATGTGAATTCATATATATATATTAATATTCATATATATGTATTTGTATTTATATATATATTCATTTTCTGGTTTGTTTCACAGCTCTGCGATTGAAGTAAAGAAATATAAAAATTGGGGTGGTCAGGTGTCTTTTCCTTAAACGATAAGTAATAGTATAGGGCAGTTTTCAACTAATACTTACCGAATGATGTGGGAAATGGGTACTGTGGGAACTCAGAAAAGGGGACAGCTGGCCTAGAGTGTCTTGGGAAGGTGTCATGGGAGAGAAAACGTTGGAATTGTTTTTGGGCAGGGTTTGTCAGGATATTGAGGAAAGAGGGTAATCTAGATAAGGCATTCCAAAATCGAGAGGGCCCACGCATGCGTGTTCAGGGAAGAGTTAAGTAGTTGATGCTGATTGAGTGTTGGGTTCGTGTTGAGGAGAATAAGCTATGACTGGGAATAGATATTGAGGTCAGATTAATGTAGATGACAAAATAACTAGCCTTAAGATGACAGTGGCAACAGTTGTTTAGGAAGATCGCTCTGACCGTGGTGTATGGGAAGGACTGGAAGAATAAAACATGTGAGGCAGAAAAGGAGAGAAACTGCATGAGTTGAACTAGGTTGGTGGCTAGCAGATGGATGGGAAGGGGCAAACTAAGAGAGAGCTGAGGAAGAGTAACCAATGGGCTGAGGCACTAACTGCTGCATGGGGACAAAGGGAGGGAATATATCTAAAGACAGTTCTGAAGTTTTAAACCTGGAGGCCGGTGAGAATAAGAAACCACTCACAGAAAGAAGACAGAAGAAATTACTGATTTTATGGGAAAAGCATTCAGGTCTCAGAATTTAGGGTTGATGTTATCAGTGAAATGTGTGAATATGTCAAGCGTGCAGTCACATCCGTGGGATTGGAGTGTGGAGAGGAATCGGGACTACATTACGTCATGATAATGGAAATATGCGGGAAGGCTGCCTTTTAAGTTTGGAACCTAATGACAAAAGAGAAAGGAAATTATAGAGAATGAGGACCAAAGCAACATTTTCATTAAGAAGGTAGAAATAGTACCTGTTTGTAAAAAGAAAGGAAGAAGCCAGTGTGTAAGAACAGACTAACAAAGTGAGCGGTGAGAATTAAGAGGACTTTACTAACGTGGAGAAAAAGAACAGTGATCTTGAAATACCTGAATTTTAAGGGTGCTCACCAGGTAGGCCCTGATCAGTCAATATTTTATTGTACAAGGCCAGTCATTGAATTCTAGGACGATAAGTACCTCAGAAGGATTACTGGTCTAGTGTATCTTCATGGTTTGGCAGAAACATACTTCCATCATACCGATTGGTGTTAAAACCAACAAGTGCCTTTGTAGATCTCTTTCTGTGTTCTGTCAGTTTGAAATTCTGTTCTCGTTTACCAGCCTCTTTTGATCACACAGCCCCACAAACCTTATTAGCATCAGTGCCAAATCTACCAAGTAATTGAGTCCTTCAGTTGAGTCGTTACTGGAGACCCAGTTTAATACCCTTCTTGACTCTTGGGCAGTTTGGATGATGTATTCACAGAGATAGTATTTGTCAACATACTACTTCATCACCATGCTGAATGATACTCTAGTAGCCTCGTAAATATATATATTTAAAAAAATTGAACAGTTTGTTAATGTGTTTTATAGTTTTCCATTGAAGTCTCTAGTGTATATATGTATATGTATATAACTTATATTTAATGTGTATATATATACACACACACATATATATACACACACACATTTATAGGTATGTGTATAGGTTCACAGCAAAATGGAGGGGAAGGTACAGAGATTTCCCATTAATCCCTTCACCCACACCTGCATATAGGCTAGTTTCTTCATACCTCTAAATCTGTTTCTTAATCTCTAAAATACGGATATTAGCTCTATCTTCATAGATTTCAGGATTGAGTTAAGATCATTTTCTAAAAATGCCTGATATTTGATAACTATTTAGTAATGTCTGTGCTCATAACAGGCATAATTAGCTTTAAAACTTGGGAGAGCATCATGTTCACAGAGTGCTTCATAAATGCTTTTCGATGATAACATTTAATATGATCCTCAAATCTCTTTTTTTCTTAATTTTTTTTTTAACGTTTATTTATTTTTGAGACCGAGAGAGACAGAGCATGAACAGGGGAGGGACAGAGAGAGAGGGGGAGACAGAATCTGAAACAGGCTCCAGGCTCCGAGCTGTCAGCACAGAGCCCGACGCGGGGCTCGAACTCCCGGACCGCGAGATCATGACCTGAGCCGAAGTCTGCCGCTTAACCGACTGAGCCACCCAGGCGCCCCATCAAATCTTTATTGAATGAATAAGCAAATGAATGAATATATATATATACCCCGTACAGGGTTTTTGGAACCGGAGTCTCTGAAAAGCTTTTACTTCAGTCATGGGTAGAATTGCTGGCTTACATTTGCTGTAATACTTGGTTATCTTAAAATTTTAAATGTTTCTTCTTCTTCTTCTTTTTTTTAATGTTTGCTTATTTTTGAGAGAGAGACAGGGGACAGAGAGAGAGAGGGAGACACGGAATCTGAAGCAGGCTCCAGGCTCTGAGCTGTCAGCACAGAGCCTAATGATTCAGGGCTTGAGCCCACGAACCGTGAGATCATGACCTGAGCGGAAGTCAGACGCTTAACCCACTGAGTCACCCAGGCGGCCCGGTTATCTTAAAATTGTAGATGTGGCAAGTGATTTCAGAAATGTACTTTAATCCCAGGTTAGATATGCTTAGGAACCATGATGATTTCTGGTCCAGATCTGCTGTTTTCTTTCACAGCGGTGGGAACTTTAAAAAGTTTTGTATTTGTCTTAGAAATATGATGGCGGATTCTAGCCCAGGCCCCACCGAATGAGGCTGTAAAGCGGATTGATTTTTTAAGCATTGCCCATTGGCAATAGTGATTAAAAAGCTGTTGGTTTGCTTGCTTTGGAGCCGTCAAGATGAGTGGTGGCCCTAGAAATTATTTGCAGGTCAGCACCTCTTAGCCTGCAATGGCTCATGATACCTCTTAGCAGGTCTGTTAGAGTTGTTTAATCCCCTGTGCTGTGCAGTGAGGGGTGTGACGAGGGCTCCAGAGCGAGTCCCCCGGGGTTCCTTCTGCAACCCCAGCCCTATTCTTGGGCCTCACTTCCTTCTCTGTAATCTGAGAATTCACTTGATCAGAGTTGTACTTTAAATAAGATAATGCATCTAAATTAGCCCCTAGCCTACCACAGTGTAAGCCCTCAGTAATTATTATTGTATTGCTGCTGATGTTGCTGTAAATGGCAGTGATGAGGATTAAGCTGTGAATGGTGATTAACTCGCTCGGCACAGCGCATGGCAAGTAGCAGACCCTCACTAAAAGCGCCCCCCTTGACCCCTATGTTCAGATGCCTAGCACATCCTATTCTCAGTTTCGGGTGTAGGTGGCAAGTAGATGATGTTCTGGCTGCGATCAATCTTTCCTCAGATCTACAACTAGAAATATGAATAGCGAGGTTACTCTACTTCTGAATGTCAAGGATGAGGATTTAGAATTAGGTTTTCATTGTTTTAAATTGCTTTTCTTAGTAGCACATCATAAATGTGTGTGTTAAACTGTTTATCTGATTGTACAGATGCTGTTGACCGAGTACTTGGATATGAAAAATACTCGTACGGCCTCTGAACCATCAGCTCAACTAAGTTATGCCAGCACTGGCCGAGATTTTGCAGCCTTTTTTGCCAAGAAGAAACCTCAAAGGCCAAAAAATTCTCTTTTTAAGTAAGTATCTCCCTGATGGTAAGATAGCAGGTGTCAAGAAATGTTTGATCCAAGTAGGATGGCTTTCTACTTTATTGGCAGCCGTTGCTTCACCCAGTTAAAGCTGATTTGAAATAATTTATGGGAAGTGAATGTATTTTTTATTTTGTGTACATTTGTTTTCTATAAGGGGAAGTAGATATTTTGGAGTATGGTTATTGGACTGTCTAGGACTTTTAATAAAAATTTTTTGTAATTTTGTTTCTGTGGCATTTTATATAAAATGAAGGGCAACAAAACCCTATTTCTGGGGAATTTTGTATGAAGTGAAATATGTCAGCTTTCGGGGAAAAAACACTAGTGCCAAGAAATAACCTTAAAGTTTACAAGAATCTCCTTAGCTAAGTAGCATTGGATTCTGTTTGATTTTTAAATAAAGGAACACTCCGGAAATTCTTTTTTTCTAATTACTATGTTAGTTAATACCACCAGGCCACGTACCTATGTGATTTGGTAACAGCTCATAGTTAATATTATTATATTAATAGTAACAGCAGTAACAGCTACCACTGAGTGCTTACTATGTACCAGGTACTGTGGGAGATGAATTTCTCAAAATACTCTCAAACATAATTTACATGTGATTATATCAAATTTTGGCAGCGGGAGTAGTGGCTGGCACTGAATCCTCACCAAGTACTAGCGAAAGCATTAAGCCATTTTCATGGATTATCTCATTTACTCGTTGCAGCCTTACAGGTCTGGGTTTTATTTTTAATCCTTTTTTACACATAAAAGCTTGAGGCAAGCAAGGTTAAGTAATTTAAGTAGATTCACTGGCAATAACTGGCAATTGGTCAAAGCAGGATTTAAATCTTAGCAGATCTGGGCATTCTTCTGACGAGTCGGGAGATAACTAGTTAAGTTGTACCTGTAAATCTAAGCCTATAATGTGACTCCAGAAGTATTTTGAATTCATTCCTTTTGAACAGTTGAAGCTCCAGTATCTTTTATTGATTCACTTTTGAGATTTGTTTATATCATAGATTCATAGAGTTCTTTTTTTTTTTTTTTCCATAGAGTTCTTAATCATTATGGAAAGTTTCAACGGTTCATTTATCTTGTGGTCCAGAGGAGAGGAGATTGAGTGTGCTTGTGTTGGGATAAAATACATTCTGTTCATTGAATGCATTCTTTTCTTGTGTTTTACAGTTTTGTTAAGAGGACAGATGCACTATTAGTTAAAATGCCTTAGTCTGCAGGTAATCCAGACCCCAAAAGAATGAGATTAAACCATAGGAAGGTTATTATGTTACACAGTGGGGAGGATTGTAGAGGACTCCGTAATCTAACAGTGCGGAATGGCCAACGACCCCGCCCTTTCCATCTCCCTGCCTTAGGTTCCACTCCAGGATAGAGTGATGCCAAGGAAAGGGTGTGATTCTCTCTGTGACAAAATTTTTTATTAATTAGTAGACTATTTTTTACACCATTTTTCAGTTTACAGAAAAATCAAGCAGACGATACAGAGTGTCCTTATGTCCCCCTTCTTCAGAATTTCTCCTTTTGTTAACATCTTGTGTTCTTACGTATGGTGCATTTGTTACAATTGATGAACTGATAGTGATCCTTCGTTATTATCTGAAGTCCACAGTTTATATTGGAGTCCACTCTTTGTGTTACACATTCAGTGGGTTTTGATAAATGCATAATGTCATATATGCATCGGTACGTTATACAGAATATTTCAGTGCCCTAAACATCCTCTGTTTTCTACTTATTCCTTCCTCTTTTCCCCACCCCCTGAGCTCCTGATAATCACTGTCTCTGTAGTTTATCTTTTCCAGAATGTCTTATAGTTGGAATTATCCGGTATGTAGCCTTTTTAGACTAGCTTCTTTCACTTAGCAATATGCAGTTAAGGTTCCTCATGTCTTTTTGTGGCTTGATAGCTCATCTCTTTGTATTGCTAAATAATATTCCATTGTGTGCCTGTACCTCGATTTTTTTTTTTTCATTCAGCTTTTGAAAGACATCTTGGTTGCTTCCAATTTCTGGCCATTATGAATAAAGCTGCTGTAAATGTGCAAGCATTTGTGTAGATGTAAGTTCTCTGTTCATTTGGATAAATACATAAGAGAATGATTACTGGACCATAAAGGAAGATTCTATTTAGCTTTGTAAGACACTGCCAGACTGTCTTACAAAGTGGCTATCCCACTTCAGATCTTTTTTTGTTAATAATTATTATCCATTTATTAATCTTTTCTGCCAGTGACAAAGTCTCTCTGCAAGTTTTCCTCAGGTCTTACGCCCATTCCTAAAGCAGTCACTGGCAAAGGGGAGCACGCCACGGTGATGGTCTTCATCCAGTCAGGGGTTCTCTCTGGTGATAGGTCTTGGGCTGTAAAGGAACCGCTCTTCCTGAGCACACAGCTGTTTGCAGAGGGAGCAAAGGCAGCTAAGATGGCCTGAGATGCTGCCTTAACGCTTAGGCCTTTCCTCTGCTCACTTGTTTGCTCGCTCCTGTGTGCGCTCTCTGTCTCTGTGTCTGTGTCTGTCTCTTCTTCTTCCTCTCCTCTTTGTCTCTTCCTCTTCCCTTTCCATCTTCCTAGCTTCACTTCCTGTGGTAAATCTAGGTGTATTGCAGAAGCAGGTTTCAGGGTGTTTAGATTTCATGCTGTCAACCCTCATCCTTAACTTTGAATCTCAGGCCACACGTACATTTTTATACGTTGAGCCAATCCTGAAATTGAGGTACTGGAAAACATAGAATATTGGAAATGAATAAATGGACTTAAGTAATTGTTAAACATTTATTGTTATTGCATAGCAGTAAAAACTCATCGCCCACACGGAATGAGGCCGTTACTACAGACTTGCCTGTTTCCAGCTCTACCATTAATGAGCTGTGCGCGGCAGACCAGGTCTCCCGTCTCAGTGGGCCTCTGTGCCTTTGGCTATACAGTAAGAGGTGAGGCTGTATCTTCTCTAGTGCCTCTTTTACTGTAAAATCATACCAATCTGTGAGTGGTGGCAAACATAAAGAGGGTTCCTCAGTAGCAAAAATACATCAGGTCATAAAGGATTAAGGTTTGGGCGAGCTGTAATCTGGTTTTATCGCATCCAGGAAGGACTTTATTACTCTCTTTAATTGCCCTTAGCCAAGGTTAATTAAGTGTGTTTAAGTTCTCTCTCATTGTATAATCTGTGCCTCTCTGTTCTTTGCTCAAGAGTTTATTTTTCTTCCCCCCCTCGCCATTTCTGATCAATAGCCGTCAGCGTGCTTTTTGGAGGTCGGCGGCTTCTTTCCTGCACTTGACTGGCAGGTGGCACTTGTGAAGTACCACACACTTTGCGTTCCTTCTGGCTGTTAGGGCCCTCTCAGTTCTTGGCAGGGTGCAGAGAGAGGATCAAGAAGGCCAAGTGTTTCCCTCCAACTGACATTCATCTTCCTTGTCAAAGAATGGATAAAGAAGGCATAATTAAGAAAGTGATGGCGTTCCTTTTTTGTTGCCAGAAACCTATGCCATTATCGCTGCTGCTCTTTCGTGATGTTGCTGTTTACCACTTAGAGGCAGTCATTCTTAGAAGGATTTCTCCTGTCAGCCTGCTCCCCTGACTTTGAAAATCTCAGGTTTGAAATGCAATTTCTTAACACGTCAGGGGATTTACTGTTGATTTAATCTTAAATTTACCTGTTTCTTTTTCCCCTTACCTGCAAGTTTCTCTTAAGACTGGGATTTTTTTCTTTTGTTTTCTTCATCCTTGAATTATTATTTTAGCCTTTAGAAACCTGTTCTGTGTCCTGTGCCTATCCTCCATGTTTCTGGCCTCTGAAACGATCGATTCCTGGGGTGATGTGAACACACACTTTGTCACCTGATTTTTGTTTTGTTTTGTTTTGTTTTAATGTTTATTCATTTTTGAGAGACAGAGAGAGACCGAGCATGAGCAGGGAACGGGCAGAGAGAGAGGGAGACACAGAATCCGAAGTAGGCTCCAGGCTCTGAGCCGTCAGCACAAAGCCCAACACGGGCTCGAACTCACAAGCCATGAGATCATGACCTGAGCCGAAGTTGGATGCTTAACCAATTGAGCCATCCAGGCGCCCTTGATACTTTTGAGAATATTTTATGTTGTAGATGGCAGATCAGAAACCATTTAGAAACGGTATTGCTTTTGAGGACTTTTAGGGAGAAACCACAGATGCCTTGCTTCCTTGGTGTAGTTATCCAGCGGCATTGCTAGTGTGCCTTCTGTACTTGTTCTCTAACCAGGGGAGTGTAGAAAAGCAAGATACATTTCTGTGGCGGGGGCGGTCACTCACAGGTTTTGCACCACATAGCAGCAAAATGAGAATGACCTTACAGGATACCCTTATTCGTGTGTGTAGGGACCCTGGCAAAGGGTCTGGAGGCAGAAGAAAGTTGCAACAGATGAAGAGTTGTACCCGTTGAAATGAAGAATGAGTGAATGGCCCAACTGCTGTTGTGGAGGGGCGTTGGCCAGGAGTGTTGTTCATGAATCCAGGTCTGTGGCGGCCGGCTTTGGCCCTGTCATGGGTTGGCCAGTATGTTTGGGTCAAGGAACGCTAGGGAGTGCCACACAGACTGGAGTAGGACACTTGGGGTACAAAGGTGGCCACCGCTTGTTTGGTTACTGCCTCTCTGTTTACCCTGCGCTTCATTCCAGGTTCGAATCCTCCTCCCATGCCATCAGTATGAGTGCCTATTTGCGAGAGCAGAGACGGGAGCTCTACAGTCGCAGTGGAGAACTTCAAGGTAAGTGATTGAACTTCTCTGGAAAAGTTAGTTTCTGGAGGAAGATCTGAAGTGTGTGGCACATGTGAATTTGCCGTTCGCATTCACCAGTTTCTTTCAAGATAGCAGAGATTTAAAGACTTGATAATCTGTTTCCTCTATCACTTCCCAGCATCTGCTGCCGAGCAGCTAAAACGATTGCTATGGCCACAGGATTTATAGACCTGCTACCATTCAAGTGAGAACTCAAAGCAGAAAGACAGGAGGTCAGTCTCTTGGTGCTTAAACATGGCAGCCATGAGTCCAGTCACAGTCCACGGGAATGCCAGTCTGTGGCCGTCAGTGTTACACTTACTGTTTTCTATACCTTCTGGAATGTGGCAGGAGTGCCTGGGATTTGGAAAAGGGCAGATGCAGCCTCTGCCATTATTTAAAAGGAAGAAAGATGCCTCTAAATAGGATGTTGTAATCAAGCTAGCTCTGATATACAGGATATTTGATATCCATACATGGTTACTAAAGAGTTGTAATCTGTAGGAGAAAATACTTGAGAAAATAAATCGTAAGTAGATTTAATTAAATCAAAAATCCAGTAACGTTTCCTTCTGTGACAAGAAAGATGCTAATCATGGTAAATGGAATCAATCAAGAAAGATTTGTGAAGTCCTGCTAAGTGCAAGCCATCCCAGGCATCAGAGGGGATGGAGGGGGAGGAGACAGAGGTCGAATAGAAGGAAAGAGAAGATAAAGCCTTAAGATCCAGCTATCAGTGTTCATGGACATCACTAACAATATCAGGAAGTCAGTGCTTACAGCCAAGTAATGTTATGCATAAAAACTAGTAGAGGAGTTGAGAGGACGGGGCGATTATTTAAAATTATTTTAAAACCGTGGGCTTCCTGCTTGAAGGGTGCGTAAGAACACTTCCACTTTTGGGGAGGCAGTAGAGGCACTTGAAATATTTTGCAGCGAGTAGCCTACACAATTAAATATTTAGTTTTTAAGATTCATCATGGTTCTATGTCAAAACATTATAAATTAACCAGCTAGCCTCTCTGGATTTAAGGACCACCGCCTAGTCATTTCTACCCACACCTTCATTATTGATCTAAACACTTGTAAATTTTTCTGAAGATGCGGCTGTGCTCTCCCATAGCTCTGCCACAGTAATAATTCCATAGCTCACGTATATATCAGAACGAAAAGCCTAGAAATAGTTTGAGGATACAAGGAAAAGGAAATTAGCTTACCGGCATTTTATTTAATAATAGTGTTGCCATGTGGCGGGGGGGGGGAAGGGGGAGGGGCGTGGGAAACGTGAAGTGTGCATCTTGGAGTCTTAAGGTACATGGGTACAGAGGGCAGTTAGGATTGAAAAAAGTCAAGGAGTGAAGAAATACAATTTTACTTCCTGTCCTTAGCATAGTGCCTAGTATGGTAAATATTCAATAAATACTCACTGACTCAGCGACAGAACAAATGAGGACAGTCGATGTCAAACGTAGGAGAGGGAGCTTACCATGGAGAGAGAGGAGGGGAGGCCACTGAGAGCCGGTATCAGCTTCACGGTTCTATTAGTTTTTAAGTTTGAGGAGAAGCAGAGGCTATGTGTAGATCCATTTTTGTTCTGTGCCCTTGTAACTAGCTTCAATAAGTAGAAGTGTGGCCACTGAGCTGTCTGGCCTAGGATGATACTGCCGTGTATGATTGGAAAACATTTTGAAATCCAAGTGAGTTATGGAGGAAGTTTATTCTGTGAGGGTGGTTAATTGAAGAGTCACTATAATCTAATTAGGAACTTTTCTCATTTTTCAGCAAGTTAATAGAAATACGGAGCTGTATTCTGTAGTCTGTTTTCCTCACCAGGGTTCAGCAAAGTGGGAGGATTTATCTTTGGTTCCAGGGAAGCAAGTAGTTAGCAAACATATCATGCTCATAATAATCATTAAATAATTTCACTGAGCTGACAGATCACTGCCTGGTGAGAGAATAGCTCAGCTGAGGAGTTTTTGTAAAAGTTTGATGGTGTTTCATTGAGGAGCAAAAGCATCTCTGATGAATGCTTTTAACATTTCAGCTGGAAAAGGGGAAAATCACACCTATTTTCCATTAGAAAACGACCATCCTTTTTCAGTTACTCTATTAATCTGGCTTGTACGAGGGCCACAGTGAGATCTGCATTTCAGTTTATCCTTGAAAAGGCATAATTGAATAGGTCAGTCAAATCATAAAAGACTGGCAGAAGATTTGTGTCTCTCCTCTTACTACCGCGTAGCTGCAGGCTTCGCTTCCTAGTGCTTTGGTTCACAGGGTCAACCTTTCCTTCTGCGGCAAAGAAAATCCATCAGAAAGACCATCAAAGTAACATTAAAAAGCTCAAATTTTATGAAAGTAAAGTTCCTGCCAACATTTTCAAGTTATCATGCAATTAAAAATGTTACCCACCCTAACGACACACAAGGGGAAAAAAGAATGCAAAAATGAGATTTCTTTGGTATCATCAACCCATCTCAGTTGGCTCTGTTATGGTACAGCTGCTTCATTATATAGTCCACTGTCGGCAATTGGGCCGAGGAGGTGGGGGTGCTGTTTCAAAGTGTGCACAATAACAAGTGGAAATCTAACTTGTGTGTCTCCATTAATCAGAGACTTCCCGTTGTTTTGAGCCTCTTGACTGCTTCATTTTACCGCTTAGACAACCGTGTCATAGGTTACATGAACATTTAGGTGAATATAGCTTCTCGGGTTTAATGTGGATTCTTTGGGAAACAAGGTAACTGATGAATACAGTATCTCATGAGGGTTAAAAGAAAATCAGAATACTGCTGCTCATGATCAAAATAAGCTCTTAGGTTAATCAGCCCCACTGTGCCTCGGTTTTTTCATTTGAAAAATAGAGCTGTTATCAATTCTGACTACTTTAGGAGGGACATAGGGACTGTAAAATTAGATACTAAAACTCTGGTAAAATTAGAAGAGCTATAATTGATTTACATTAAAATGGTACTTTAAAATATTAAACACGGTGGAATTGGGAGAGTTGCATCCATTTCTCTATCTCTTGTTTTCTCTGCCTCACCACTCTTACTTTTCCTGAGTTGGTTCTTCTCAAGGTCACCGGTGACCTCCATCTTGGCAGATTGAGCGTTTGCTGCTCTGTGTTCGTCTCACTTGATCTTTCGGCCAGCCACGTTCCTTTTCCCCTCCTTATGTTTGAGTGTCTCAAGGTTTGGTCCTGGGAACCTTTGCTGTGTTCACTCTGTAGACTCCACCCAGGTATCTCAGCCCCAGTTGAGTTTTGCTTAGTGCCTTGGTTCGGGTGACTTCCAGATCTAGATCTCCTGCCCAAATCCCGTTATTGTTTCCTGATCTCTCCCAGCATCCTGCCCACTCCCACCACCATCCTGTCATTCTTTATCACATGTTTTTTATCTTCTGCAAAAGACTTAATTTCTGTGTGTGTGTGTGTGTGTGTGTGTGTGTGTGTGTGTGTGTGTTTCCCGCTTGGTAATTTGCTACCCTTCTCTCCGAATACCCACAGTGCAAGTCTTACTCATTAGTGCGTTCCAGTGCCTGGGACAATGCTTGGCTTGAATTAAGCACTTAAAAAGTATAATGGAGGAGGCCTCTATCCCCAGTATCTCCTTATTTGTAGCTATAGGCCTACTTATTTGAGAAGGCCTAGTGGGAGGTTTAATACAGAGTAAGAGGCCTGTGATTTGTCCTCTTTGCTCGCTTTTCAGATAATAAAATCACGAATGAGTAGAGTACATTAATTGTCATTGATCCAAGTAGAAATGTATACTCAGTTTTGATTACAGTTCTTTCCTGTCTTGGGGCTACTTAGTACTTCTGTTTGTACTCAATAATATTACCTTTAGAGTGCTATTTTTATTCCCATTAGTCTAATGAGTGGCATTTCTATAGCCCTGACATTAAAATATTCTGTAAAGCTCCCACCACTTGAGAATTGACTTCTCTAAGAGGATTTGCTTTACATGGTAAATATGGAAGTACTGGCATCAGGGAAAACTGGGCTCTTAGCCTGACCTGACCTGAATTTTCTTAGTCTCTCCCTCTAATGGGTTGTTGGTATCTGGGGCTGTGAATACTTAATGATATCGTATGTGATTAATCTGTTTGGAGGTACCTTGCCTTAAGGTACAGTGATATTTGGAATATATTAGGCATGAGTTCATCATCCTTTTTTACCAAAGGATTTATAATACAAGTCTCTCAGATAGCGAACTGTTCTATAATGGAGCATTTAAAGCAAGATTTCATTTACACACACATTTTCAGGGCCATTTTGGCTGAAGTGAGGTACAGCACCTTTACACTCCTACCACACATTTGTTCCACAGCCTTAAATATAAGAAGCACTTATAAAGCTTTATATCCTGAAATAAGATTGGAAGATTCTTTGTAGTCTTAAATTTTGCGTCATGACTTTGTTAATAACTATGTAGCAATGTGCTGGGCACATGAAAAAATACATTTTTCTTCTTAAAATTGCATGTAATTATTTCAAAATAACCTTAATCTTTCATAGTTATCTCTTCTGGTTTAGATTCTAAAATAGGGTATGAAAATTGATTCCCCTTCCTTTTATATATGTACACTCTTGCTTTTTTAAGAGACTGAACTTACTCATATGTGAGGGTAACCTTATAATGAAATTATAATAGAATTTTCAGAAATGCTAATTTCTTTATGTGTTCCTAAGAAGTGGTAAGTTATAAGTATATGTTCCTCAGGTCGTGAACAGATAAGAAATAAAAGTATTCTTATGCTGAGATTTGTTACTGAGTGTGTCGCCTCTTAGCCTTAATGTGTGCAACGTAGACATTTATTTAAAAACGTTCTTTGTTTCTGGGTTTCATTTATAATGCGGGTTTATTTTCCGAAGAATTCTAGTTCCTATAACATCCTTTCTACCCATGGGACAGAGTATTGGTACCTGCACTGTGTGGAGGAGCCTGGTGGTCATGGGACAATGGATCCTGAGAGTACAGAGCAAC